AACTCTTCTTGATACTAGCTTAATATTGTGTTTGCTATTGCACTGTGAATATGAAAGAAAATATCATTCATTATCGTCAAATTTTGTTTTATTATTTTTAAAAAGGCAAGTGTGATGCAGAAGCTCATAGAAAAATTTGCAGTGTTTATGGGGATGATGCCTTAACCGAACTCACCTGGCAAAATTGGTTTGCCAAATTTCATTCAGGAAATGTTGACATCAATGTTGCTCAACGGTCTGGTCGCCAACATGAAATTGAAATAAGCAATGTTAAGGCCATTTTTGATCAAAATCCCACCCAATCAGCCCGAGAGATTGCCATAGCCATAGGCCATAGCCTTAAATGTGTCACACATAAGCGCAGAAAACCATTTGCACAAGCTCGGTAAAGACTTTCGGCTATGTTTCCAGACTTAATGTTTGGGTCCGTCACATGATTTTTTTCAAAAATCACTAAAAGTCTTTTAACTTCAATACGACTTAAGCTATCTTCAAGAAATTTAGCAGGAATTTAGGGCCACATAAACTACACAAAATGACATCAACAGGACCTTTGTAAACAAACTGCAAATGGAGATAAAAAATAACCTATAAGGAGTTTTTGTTTATTTATTCCTTATGTACGCATTAAATAAAAAAAAAATTATACAGATTTGAAGAGCAATAATTCAGTTTTCCAACAGATACAGTAACATCGAATTTGGAGAACATCCTGAAGAGTTATGAGTGATCGGAAGGGTGTTGTGTTACACTAAGACAATGCTAGGCCTCACATCTCATTGGTAATTCATAATAAATTATTGAGCCTTGGATGGGACCTTTTGCCACACCCTCCCTATTCACCAGACCTAGCTCCAAGTGACTACCACTTATTTTGGTCTTCACAGAACTCCATGAATGGAATAAGAGGACATCAAAAACCACTTAGATCAGTTTTTTAACAATAAACTTCAGACATTCTATGAACATGACATTATGCAGTTAGTGGAAAGATGGGAAAAAGTTGTATTAATTAATGGTCAATATATTGTAGATTAAAATAAATTTTATGTCTGTAATAGATTGAATTTTATTTCACCCTGAAAAACCAAAAGGACTTATTTGCCAACCCAATATATAAATAAATATAAAATATAGATCCATATATTTAAATATTTTTTCTTTCATTAATAACCTGAATAGTTCTGGTAATGCAATGGTATCCCTGTATCTGATGCTACAGAATAAAGCAATTTTATGTTAATTAAAAAAAAATTTTCTTCTCTCTATCTTCTTTCTTATTTCAATATTAAATTTGTTTTTTAATGTAAAATTGAGCAGTATATCAACATACTTCATAGATTAGAACTAAGTGCAAGCAGTTGTATAATATGATGAGTATTTAATTTTAAGCAAATAAATATTATATTTGAGATTTTTAAGTTATTCAGATAAACTTCATTTGTTTTGGAAATTTTGAGAATAACTAGCTACCTATAACTTTTGAAAGGATTTTCAAACTTTTAATATTTTTATTTAAATTTTTTTTTTGTACAAAAATTGAAATTACAATAAATGAAAATGATTTCAACATGCGATATATATAACAATAATTAATGTTTCCAAGAAGATTAATTCTTATTTATTTGAAATAAACAATATACCGAGGTCCTTAAAATTTTTTGTTTTTATAGATGTTTACTTTTGTGTTACCCAAATATTATCCACTAAATGTTTAACATTTCATAACATTCATTTAAAATTTACTATACCTTAATCATGTCTTCATAAAAAAGGAACAAGACATTTGGATCATTGCGATGAACCCACCCTTCCAAAACATGACTCCAAAAAGGGCTCCATGGAACTGAAAAAATAAATATTAAAAATATATATATTATTATAAATTATTGACTGGATATAATTTAGTTCCATACCAAGACCATTTTTAAACTGCTCCCAGAATTTAGGAAATGAAGCGTCGTAATTTGATGTACGCCATGTTCGAAGTAAGTGATAAAATGAAACAACTACATCCTTTGGATTTCTCGCAACATAAATAATCTTTAAACAAGAAAAAAAGACATTGAAAAATAAAGATAACAGTTTCAAATAAACTTATCTATTATTTTAGTCTAATGGTATCTTATTTATTTTAAGGGTAGGTGAGAGAATTCTGCCATCTGTCAAACAACACGGTTTACTTGAATATTGTGCCTGTTGTTTCAACTAGAATTGAATGTTAAACAGAATTATCATGCTGTTATTGGTAAATTAGAAGATGGTTGTCATTCTAATACATGACTTAAAAAATTATTGGGAAAAAATTTTAAATAGGATAGGGTCTTCAGTATAAAAATATGTCAATATATTTTTTTCGAGTAAAACATGCATCTACAAATACATTTACAAATTTACTATGTTTTTTATCTTTCTAACATATGAAAAGAGGGAGATGAAGAAAAATATTAATAAAATATTTTCAGTATTTTAGTTTAGCATCGATGTTTTAGCTCTCTCTAACCAAAAATAATATTTTAAATAAATTTATATTTTTAACTTTATTAAAATAACCTTGCAGTTTTTCTCGTTCACTGCTTTGGGTAACAGACTCAGTGGGAAATGTGTTTTTATCAGTCTAGGAGATGGTACGGATTCTATCACTGAATATCCTGGATGGCTCATGTTTTCAATAATTTGTTTATTATCAGCATTATTTTCATTTTCTTTCAGAAACATCGTTTTTGTTTTTTCATGGAAAAATAAACTTATCCTAAAATATGATAAGAATAATGTAAGAATAAACATTTAAACCCATAGTGGATATTGTTTAAAAAAATCAATACATACTCAAAAAAAGGAGATCTTTCCCATATATTTATTTTTTTGGCAGTTTCAAAGTCAAAATTATTTTTTACTAGCCATACTAGTTCTTGTGTTAATGTTGTACCTTGTAAAATTTACAAAATCAATATTTATTGTATTATATTATAGTAGAAAATTAACTATTGTTTGTTTAAAACTTACCAGAACGAGGAAATGTTGAAATCCATATATCATCATCTCTTACAGGGCAGTGATAGAAATTGTTCACCTCATTTTTGTACTTACTTGGCAGAAGATACTTTCCTGTTCCTACGAAACAATAGCCACTATGTTCACCTTTGTAATCATTTAGAAGCTCTTCATTAACTTCTTCGCTAACTGCTACAACTTCCATGGACTCTTGGCTTAAATCCTAAAATTATTTTGATTCAGAAATCAGGAATTAAAGATAAATTAATGAATCATAAATCTAAATAAAAGTACACTCTTAATTTACCTTCAGTGGCATGTTACCTTCAGTCCTGGAACTGGTATTCTGGTTAATAACATAGCATGTCAACAGTCCAAATGACCGTAACAATTGGATGGTTTTTGTTCAGAGTGCCTTTTATCTGTTATATAAGAGAGATTTAATGTAAATAGAGATATTTTCCTTGTAAGATTTTTATAGATAATTCCACCATTAAAATTCTACTTTAAATGCATCTTATTATGCAGCTTGCTTATTTTAAGATAATTTTAATTAAATTAATTTAATTTACTTAAATTATAAAATACTGATTCAAGTTTTATTTATTCTATTTCTTTTTTTTTTTTCTTGTTACTTGTTGTTCATGCTTAAATAAAAATGACTTTATTATTCTAATTTTGTGCAGTAATTGATATCATACCATTTTTGCTTGGGAATAAAAAAGAATAATTCAGTTATTTTTAAATCTCACAAATTATAAATTTAAGCAAATGAATTTGATTCGGTATTTTAAAAAATACATTGTTATATAATACATAAATTGTTAATTAATTTTATGCACAGTTAAAAGTTTGCTGTGACTAAGCTTATTTATGAGATAGTGGAAACTTTCTATATTGAAGACAGACAAAAAAAAAAGCGAAGGGATTTATTTGGCTATTTAAACTACATTTATTGTTATATATTAATTTTTGCTTATTGTTAATTAAATTAATTAAAATTTAAACTAATATTATTGAAATTAATATTTTAAAAAATCATGCAATACATACTTTTTAAGGAGTTCCCAATTGTATAGCTTTCACTTAACTACTGACTACTAAAAAAATAGTTTTAGTAAAGATTGCATCTTTAAAGTATATGTATATCATTGTAGAGTTTAATAATATTAAATTAATTTAAATTTAACATTATAAAATTTTAAATTTGTCAATTAAATTAATTCTAAAAAATTTATAAAGTAAATTTATCCTAAATCAATAACTATATTGTGGAAATTGAATTTATATTAATGAAAATAGGCATTTGTATCATTTTCAAACTGCTAAAATATTTAAAAACTGAAATAAAAATTACATCACAATTTCCCTCCGACGTTAATTAATACGTCTGTTGACTATAGATAAATACGATTTTTTTGGGGCACCTAATGAAAATGATTTTCATTTTAATGATAAATGGCAAGATAATTCAACGAAGTTTTTAATTGCATCAAAATAAATATTGTCTAAATAAAATTGTGTAATATTTTCATATATCCTCTTAATCTTCATATTTTTAATTTAATTTTAGTATTTAAAAATAAAATGAGAAACCCGCGAAAGACGCTTTCTGGAAGGTCATATTGTTTGATATTTTATTAATTACTATTTAAATGCCATGGATTGAATACTTCGTTAAAAAACCAACTTAATTCAACTGATTAAAATGTATTAGTTTAAGAAAAATACCATTGACATGGCTTTTAAAAATTTGACTTTTCTCCTGACGTCTGTGTTATTTATTTCTTGTCTAATCAAAACACTACTGGGAAGGGGGAGGGGGTCGGTTTGTTTTGACGTTTATGTAATCAGCTGCACTGTGTCCCGTGGATCTAGGTTTGGTTAATTCTCTCAGTTATAATGTAATGTTTCGTTATTAATAAGTCTTGAATGATGAATCGGCTGCGTTCTGAAGATATGTATCCTGTTTGATATGGGTATAATTCCTAATTGAGCTGTGCAAGATGTGGATTAAACCAAAGGAGGTGTTGATTGCTAATGCTTTTTGGTAGGTTTGAACTGATAAGATAACAAGTTGAACACAATAGTTAGTAAATATATGCAAATAATGTCTTATTTCAACACTGCATTGATATTGTTATTTATGAATCATTTCAATAATTAAAGAAATTATAGTTTTTTTCTTTATTTGTTATTCAATGTTACTTTAAGCTTTTTATGATTATAGGGTAACAGAACAATCAAGTATATATTTTCTTTTGCAAAGAAGAAAAGGTCATGGAAAGGATAGCAATAGCCTCTCTTCGTTGTTTGTGGGCACATTGGACAGTGTTTTTGATACAAAACCTCCACCTTATCGAATACTCCACCAAACTCCAACCTCTGAAGTTTATTATGGTATTATGTTTTATTGTTATCTCAAGTATAACTGTCAAGCTCTTTATTTTCAAATATATAATTGTTCATTTTTAAAATTATGATCAACTTGTTCTTTGTTATATTAAACTAAATTATATTTTTGCAAAATTAGTGTTGTGCAAGAGAATTAAGTCAAAAATTTATGTATCAGTTCTTTTTCAGCTCTTAAAATGACACTGTTATATCATTAATTTTTCTGAGAGGCATTATACAGTTATCTTAACGTTTTCTATTTTGGTTACTATGGTACAAATCTTGCTTTACTTTGATGGATGGGCCACGATATCCTAATCACTCTATTTTTGGAATCCCAAGAATGGCAGAATGTTTCCAAAAGTAGACGGAGGTAATTGTACCGTCCTGTAAGGCCCTGAGCTCTTCGTTGGGTCCTCATTAGGGTTTGTTTATCCCTTTTGAGTGAGTGCAGTCAGAGGCAATTGAAAGTAGCGATGTAATTTAGGCTGTGATATTTAATGTTAAGAACCAGTTGGGAATCTGCTGAAGTCGTAAATTGTAAATATAGATAGTTTATATACAGTGAACATGTCATTCTTGGTGTCCCATTTGTAGTATGATTATGTGAGATCCTGGCTAACACTGTTACAATAGTGCCTAATTTAGTTATAAAAATAATGTTTCCCAGTCTAAAACCATCTTACTATTGTGGATTGATGGTGGAATGTAGTGAATAATTGAAGAAAAGAATGGTTGGGGTGATCAGTTAAAAAAAATAGTAAAAATAAGAAATAAGTTTTGTTTTTGCCGATGTTTCTGGTCTAGCGACCACTCTTCATTTGACCAGCCCTGATGAAGGCCTGAACTTTGGGCTGAAACATTGGCAAAAATAAAAATAATTATTTATTTTTATTGATCATCCCAACCATTCTTCTCTTCATCTTACTGTTAGTTTGAATTATTAAAAGTAGAAATGTCTGCATATTTACTCACCAATCAATAAAATGTGATTTTAGCCATAGCTTGTTCTCTCACCTTACCAGAAATTCAAAAGGATTGGGAATGGCTCCAAAAGAATTTGAACTGTTTAGAAGCATTCGAAAAAGAAGAAGATGTTACCGGATTCGTTTGTGGCAAAATTGAATCCATGGTAGCTTCTTCTTGTCATAAAGATTTGGATGGTAATTGTATTTTCATTGTTAATTATGACAGATTATTATTATTTACTTGAAAATAGTAATTTCTTTGTTATGTAGTTGATGAAGATTCAAAAGAATACAGGAAACAATCAAAAAAATTCCGAAGAGTTTTCAATCTACCTGCTGATGATAAGCTTGTTAGTTACTATTCATGCAGGTATATTTCTTTTTTTTTTTTTTAATTTGTTGGAATTTTTTTTTCCTTATTAATCATCCAATTCTGGTCAAGAATGTGTCTAGCTCATAACAGAAAGGGTCACATTTTAAAATTTAATTTCTTTCATTTAATGGGTGTTTTATTTTTTTAAATTAGTTTCATTAAAAAAATATATATATTGGGCCAGGGTTAGTTATCCTATCTTATTCTTTTATTTTTTTTTATAAGTATAGGATTCAGAAGAATTAAGTTGTTTTTTTTTTTATGAAAATTTGTAAAGTTATGTTTTTAGCAGAAATAATTGTAGAACCAGTCATACTCCCTTTAATTTGATTTATGACTTTCACATGCTATTCTGATAATACTGGGTGCCATTGATTTTAATTGACTTCTTGATCAATTTTTATAATTTTATTTTAATCAATTAAGCCCATCCATGATAATTTTTTTAAAATTATTATTTTATAATTGTGGATATATTTTTGACCATAGATCAAATAGTAGAAGTAGTAAGTTGAGGGTTTGGTCATAAATGAAATTAAATTCTAATAAGGAATCTTATTTTTAACCAAGATATTTAACTAACTTTGAATATTATTTTATAATTTATTCATTTTAATTATGAATGAAATTTTGTTTTACCTTTACAGCTATTGGGATGGTAAAGTGCCTTTTCAGGGCTGGATGTATTTATCTGTCCAACATTTATGCTTTTATGCATATATTTTGGGGAAGGAGGTAAAAATCATTGTAAGGTGGATTGATGTTACCGACTTGGAAAAATCAAATAATTACTTTTTTCCTGAATCAATTTGTGTTTCAACAAGAGAAAAAGAGGTTAGTATTTATCATTTTTATTTTTTGAAAAATTCGATAGTAATTCATCAGCCTTGAAGGGCTTATGAATAAGTTACTAATTGTGATATCTATGATGATATTGTTATCAAATCTGTGTTTTATTTGTGGGATATATCATGGCCAACAAAACTATGCTTGATTCATTGCCTGAATAAATGAATTGATCATTTGAATGGACTAATTACCATTTTTTTTTCATTAAATAATGTTTTGTGCCAGTCATAATTTGAAGATGGATTGTAATAATTGTCATAATTATTTTAGGGAGAATTTGGTCTGGGGAGTGATTTAAAAATCATGTATAAGTGGGATTTATATTTATTGATTGCCTATGTTTCAACCTAAGTTGTAGTTCTTTGTCAGGATTATCCAGTGGTGTAGGGCAGGAGACTAGTGATTATAATTATTACTTATTCTAATTCAGTTGCATTATTCCATACTATATTGACAAATTTTTTTAAATGCTACTTTCAAAGTGAAACCTGAAGGTTATGAATCATATTAGCATTATCCCACTTTTGTATACTTTTATTTATTTTATAAATTGTATTGTTATCGAGTAGGTTTTTTGAAAATGTTCCTCAATTTCAATAGTTTAATATGTTTTTAAAATATATATCATAGTATTAAATAAGTATAATTTGTTCTCAGCTAATATTTGTGCTTTCTTTCAGTATTATTTTTCAATGTTTCTCCGAAAATCAGAAACATTTGATTTGATGAGCCAGTTGATTAACATTGCAATGAAACAGTAAGTAATAATATATTTTTTGTACATTCTATCTTTAGAATACATCTTAAGTTTAGGATGTTTTTTCATCTAGCAATTTTCAAACCATATTTATTTTTCTTATTGTTGAATCACCCCCTGACTGAATAAGTTTTTCTAAAGTTCAATTTTTTTTGTTATTATGGTATAATACATGGTAATATGTATCGAAACATATATTTATAATAGGATTTATGGAGAAACAATTTTAATAATGCTTTTTGGATGAATTTAATTCTAAAATGAAAAAACAAACTTTTTCTAGCTAACCTTTGAAAATAATAAATAAAAATATTTTTCAGTAATTTCATGGATGCTCTATAATAGACCGTATTCCAAATTTGAGTAATCTCGTTGAATTTATGTAAACTTCAGATATTTTGATTGTTCTTACATACTTTTACTGCCATTGAATGAAGCATTTACATTTTTTTAATTTTAATTGCAGATTGATTGATGAAAAACCTGGATTTTCGGAAGATAAAGATCTGCTAAATAAAATGAGGTATATATGGTGAATATAGAGTGATTAACAATCTTTGCTTTGATAAATTCAACTAATTGTTATTTTTTTAAAATGTGTTTATTGCTTGAAAATTAAATGTATAATTTTTTTTTTTTATCCCATATTGTTTCAGTAAAAATGTGGCTAAAAAACAGTCTTTTCTGAAAAGGGATTTAGATGCAAGGGCTCTTTCAGAATCTTACCGATTAACTTTTCGTTTGCCAGCAACAGAAAAGTTGGATGGTAGCACTGATGCTACCTTGTGGACTCCGTACAACAAACGCCATGTTTGGGGACGTATTTATGTTTCTCAAAATTACATTTGCTTTGACAGTCGTGTAAGTCAGTATGGAAATGGATTTGAAAAGTTTACAAAATGATATATAAGTTTAAAATTTATTATTATTATTATTTTTTTTTTTAGGTGAAAGGTTTGGTTAGTGTCGTGATTCCATTACGTGATGTTTCAAATGTGGAGAAAGTGGACAATCATGCTTCCAATACTGCTGTTAATAATTCAGTTCTATTAACTACAAGATCTGCTTCGAGACCGACTTTTCTATTTTCACAGATTCATGACAGGGATTTCTTTATTCAAAAAACTTCAGAGCTCCTTTCGAAAATTGAAATGTATGTTATTTGTGCCATTTAAATAAACATATTAATCTGATTATTATTATCTTGCCTGATGATTAATACTTTTAATGAAAGAATTTTTTTAAGTTATTTATTAATTAATTAAACCTATTTAGTATTGTGTACATCAAAGCATGCTTGTGATTCAGAATTCCTTATGAGAGCAAGATCCTAATTTATCTTAGTCTCCCAGTTTGAGATTTTACTGATTTTATTTTGTTAGTTCCTTGATTGCTTGGGGGTTGCTGGGAAGATAAATTGTGTTATACAGGAAGAGTCAAACCAATGTTTGGTTTGACTGCTTAAAGCCCCTTCTTCCTCCCCCCACATCCTGTAAACCATTCAATTCATTGACTCTTGAAGGCTGTTGCACTAGACATGATAGAAAAGGCCACTTTTCTATTGAGAGGAAGGAAGTCAAAATCTATTAAATCAGTACTTAGTGTAGGTGGTTGATGGTGATGTTCATTCATTAAACAATTCTGTCTATACTATATGTGATATGGTGGTATAGATCGCTTTTCTAGTCCTCAGGAGTGATGGATTTTTATAGATGAGTTATCAAACAAAAGAATTTCATGTAGAAGTAATGAATCCCAGTATCAAAACATATTAACCTCATTAAACTACAATAAAAGTTATTGAAAAAATTGGAAGGTTTCAAAAGTTGATGGATCAAGATAGAATAAATTGTTTTCGAATTGAGGCTTTGATGTTACAGGAATGAAATCCAAATTCAATGTAAAGATGTCCTGCTGTATATAATTTTTTATTCTCTCCTTGCTACCGGTTTCAGTTTTTCATTGGGCTAACTTATGATGGTCCTCCTCTTCTGCTTGTCAGATGAGTCGCATGTGTGTATATGTAGAGTCTCTTAGCAAGTATAGGAGTTTAGTTTATTTCTTAAATTATAATTTTTAGTGCCTCATTGAAATTAGAGCAGTTTTCAAAATAAATCAGAGTGGAGATTTTGTGCCATAAGTATTTCAAGTATATTGTTCAAATAGTTTATGTGTAAATAGTTGCACTATAATATGAAACAATCATGTAGTTGTTAAGTTTTATTAATTTCTAAGGTCATTATGGCCTATTGTATTAATTTTGGTCCGATGCTGTTCCAAAGTTTTAATTATCTAAACTTTTTTTCAGGCCCAGAGACACACCCCATGATAAGAAAGGTATGTCATATGTCAGTTATTACCTTAAATGATGTATGTTAAAATGTTCTCTTATTTTCATTTCTGTATATAATTATATACAGTTTTCAGAAAGATGAAATAAGTATTATTACAAAGAGACACTTGTGGTTTTTCAAAATTATTTTTGTTGCAAAACCTACACAATCATTTTAGGCTATATTCTTTCAGTTTTTTAAAAATAATTACTGTACTTAAAAATAATTAAAAATGAAAATAAAATAAGTTCAGGCGTTACCCGAGTGCTTAAATCAGCTTAGTTGTGTTTCCAGTTTCAAAACTTCCATCGAAGAAATATCTTTCCGTTTTTTCTGTCACCCTGTCATTATTGAATAAAAGCATTCAGATTAAAATGTATTTTGTTGCTTTTGTATGAATACGAAGTAGAGCTGAGAGAGGTTTGAGAGTATCAGATTTGGCTGTCGTATATGTTACTCCTTAGTCTCAGGCCACACCCTCTTGTCCCCACCACACCTGTGAGGCACACTGTTATTTTATGTTTTTAGTTAAATATATTTTTTTTTTTTTGTGAAGTCTCAATTTATACACTATCTTTATCACTTGAATTCCATCAAATTCTAGACCCCCTGATCATCATTTCATTGATTGTATACATTTTGTTATATGCTAAATATTTTAAAATTAAATTATACTATTTAAATGTTTTTTTTAAAAGGTGATGATGAAGAATGGAGCTTTCAACCACCAATGCGCCTCATCTTCAAAAAAGATCTAGTCAAGGAAATAGCAGCTCAGGAAGAGGTTCGAACTAAACAGTGGGAATTGCATTTTGCAGAGTACGGTCGTGGTGTTTCTATGTATAGGACGAGTGAAATGATGAAATTAATATTGGATGGTGTTCCTGACCCAATGAGGCGCGAACTTTGGCTCAGCTTTTCGGGTACGAATTTATACAAAAATAATTCATGAAAAATAAAATCTCAATATCAAATATCAAAAATAATATCATTCTGTAAAATGATTATTCTTACTTTAACCATTTCTGTTTAGGTGCTTGGAATATGTTAGTATCCAATCCTAATGAATACAGGAGGCTTGTGAAGCTTGGCATTGGTAGAAGTTGTACGGCAAACGATGAAATTGAAAGAGATTTACATCGTTCTTTGCCGGAGCATCCTGCTTTTCAGACTGATATTGGTATCAGTGCACTTAGAAGGGTACTCACTGCATATGCTGAACGAAATCCTCAAATAGGTTTGTAATTATTTTTTGTATTATATGTGTTTTTAAAACCATTTACTCTACGGTCTATTAAAACTGGCTTATATGTATTTGAAATCTTTAAAAAAAAAACATTGAACTATTTAACCTTGTTTATCACAGCTGTATTTATTTAACTTTCTATATTAATCGAGGTGAATTAAAAAAAAATTATTAAAACCAAATAAATCTTATTTTGAAGTAAGTCTGGCTTCCAACCAGCCTATAAAGAGATAAATCCGATGGATAAATTGCACCTCACTGGTTTTCTTATGACCTGCCTTATTATCGGACTTTTTGGTTATTCAAAGTCTTCTGTAATTAGACTCTCTTAATAAGCCTTATGTATAAATTGTATAATTATTTATTAATATTGTTTAATTATTTGCTTTTTAAAGGTTACTGTCAAGCTATGAACATTGTGAGTTCTGTTCTTTTAATTTATTGTGGCGAGGAAGAAGCATTTTGGCTCTTGGCGTGCCTTTGCGAAAGCTTACTCCCTGATTACTACAACACGAAGGTAGTAGGAGCTCGTATCGACCAAGAAGTCCTTGATGATCTAGTGTCCGAACACCTTCCCCATTTGCATTCTGCACTTCAACACTTAGGAATGATAAAGATGATTTCACTTTCTTGGTTTCTTACAATATTTTTAAGGTAATATTTTAATTTTATTTTGATAATTGAAATCAATAAAAAAAACTAAACAAAAATGAAATAAGTAAATATATAAGTAGAATCTCTAGTTCAAGATGGTGGTTGGTTTGATGTTCACTTTGTTGATATCAGCACACTGTTGGTATAATTCTGTATCACCCCAAGTATGTTCAAAAGTAAATTAAGACGACCGATCCCCCACCATTCATAGCAGATTGATTATGTTAGGTCAGCTGATATAACCACTTTTATTTCCTTTTGTATGTAAATAACATCATTGACCAATTTATCAACATATTTCTCAGCTTTGCATCGAAACTTTTACTTCTTCCAAGGAAATAAATATTGTAAAATTTTATGATAATCTACATCTACGGCAAAGTACAATCAATATGTACTTTTTTTGATTATTAAGTATAATCTATAATTGCAATAATACTAAGATGAAAATATAGCTCAAAAAGAGACATGAAATAATTTTTTTTTAGCTTATTTATTGAAAAATATTACAATCTATCTCAAGGACATTTATAATAGTTATTAAATAATTAGACTATAAATGGGAAAATACTAACTATAAAACCATTTGTAGTTTGGATTTTTCTGAGCTGTTTTAGCTTCTGAACCGTTTTAGTTTAGAAATTTTTTTCCTCTTTCTGCATTTTGTGATTTTGTTTCTGCTGTCCTCATGGTGCCTGTATTGGTAAAACGTTGACAGGTTAACCGTTCACTTGTATGTTAGAGAAACATGGCTTCATTGATTTTTTCCATTTACATTATAATTACAATGCTGGGAATTAAATAATAGTGATTAAATTGAAACACTGCTGTAGTTAAAATTAAATAATTTAAATACATTTTTTTTTTGTACATACATCACATAGTTAATAATGAATTTAACTTATTTTCTGTAATCTTATATTTTCTGCCATCATGAAAACAAACCTATTTTCAGTTTTCTTAAGTTAATCACTTTCATTTTAGGCTAAAATATTACAACACATTTGTCGTATGTGAACATAATCATCAATCTCTGGCTATTTTCACCATTCTCGGGATTTCATCTGTAGTGTGTTCAAAGTGATTTTGAAACCAGCTGCCATCCTGAAGTAGCGATTCAGATCAAGTACCGATTGTATTTTGTTTTAAAGAAGTAGATGGCATTTAGGAACGATTCAGATCAAGTACCCATTGTATTTTGTTTTGAAGAAGTAGATGGCATTTAGGAAATGAACTATAGTTATGTAGATCAATTCTTTGCACATAGTGTTATTAAGATTTTTGCACATACTTATGTAAAATTGTTACTAAAGGATGTTGATTTAGGTGATTTAGTGAATGAATGGAATGCTTACTTGTTTTTTTATTTATTTGTTAGCTTATATCTGGTTTTATTATTGATGAGTTGTTTTTTAAATGACATTATTGAAACATGAATGAATGTAATCTAATTTTATTTATTGATCACAATAAGCTTCTTAACTTTTATATAATTCTTCCAATTTAACAATTTTTTAAATCATTACATAATCGAAAGCTAGAAAATTGAAACAAAGAAAGAAAAGGTATCCTGTTAGCCATAAGGCGTCGCATCAACTATTTTAAACATTATGGTTTAACAGTAAAAGTTGAAAAAAAAAAAAACTGTAACTTATTGTGGTACTAGTGCTGGTGGGGGTTTAAGTCTGGCAAGTGGACCTATTGTCCCTTTTTATAAATATAAACTTGATTAATTTTATTATATTATTATTATTCTTTTCTTTTTTTTGTTGCAGTGTTATGCCGTATTCTAGTGCTGTGTATATTGTTGATTGTTTTTTTTATGATGGTGCTAAAGTGATTTTCCAAGTAAGTAAATTTGTGGTATTGAATATTTATTTTATTATACATGCTTATAAATAATTTCCCTGAGATGCATTATATTGTTTCGTACAAAGACTGTCAAGGGTCTTTTTAATTTGTAAATTTTTTCTGATAGTTTACTTACTTTTGACACATAACAATAATGTTTATATCTTATTATTGTAGTACTTTAGTTTATTTTTTTTATCTTAGTTAATTTTTATTTTTCAGTTATTGAGCTACATGTTTTTTTTAATTAAATAAATCCAAACAAATAAATAAATATAAAAATAATTTTAAATAATAAAATAAATGTTAAAATTTGTATTTCTCTTAGAACTATAAAAAAAAAAAAAAAATTATAAAATAACTATCACAGTTTTATGATGGAACATATTAATCATATTCCAATCAATCTTTGATTGGACATAACAAATAAATAAATATAACATATACATGCAAATAATAATACAGTTAACAATTTTTTTAAATTAAATCTAGACCATATTAATAAAAACATGATTTTGCATACATAAGCAAAGGTTTTCTACAAGGTATTAAATTGTTGATTGAACCTCATACCTCGTACGGTACCTTAAAATATAGTACTAATACGAGAATTCTTGTAACAATTCAACACTTATTTGAATTGAAATAAAATGTTAATCTAAATAATTGTTTTTTTTTGCATCAAATATATTCTACAATTATAATATGTTTATATATATATTGTCTAGGTAGCCTTGACTGTCCTAAAAGTAAATCAGGAGAAATTATTGAAGTGTAACGATGACGGAGAGGCGATGCAAGTGCTTAGTGGATATCTGTCTGGAGTGTATAATGAGCAGTTAACAAAACAGGAAATAATCAAGGATGGAGAGCCTATTGATAGGGTTTAGTATTTTATTTTAAATATTTCTTTACTTATTTTATATCACTGCCAACTATATAGTATCAAATGTGAAAAAAAAATATTTTTCATATTTGTCACATAATAGTCGCAGAATTTTCTTATAGTTCATTATGATGATTCAGAATCCCTTTTAGATTCATGGATGGAGAGGCAGGGGAAGAACTTTTGGGTTGATGAAGCTCCCTCCCAAAATATAAAATAAATAAATAAATCAACTAGGAAAATAATTTTACTATATAAAGCAATTACTATTAAAAAAAAAAAAAAAAGAAAAGAAAATATCTCTTTTCCAAAATTAAGTGGTGAATCCGCTATTGCTCAGAAGTATGCCATTCTAAGCGAATTAAACTGTTGCTGTAAAGTGCTCACACGTTTTTTGGGGTTAAATTTGAAAGATTTATACTATTTTTAATGTTTTACTTCTAATAAAATTGAATGTTTGAGTTACTAATTAAGATGTGATTTTGCTCCTATACTAACTTCTGATAACTTGTTGTTTATTGTTTTCTATTTTTTGATTTCCAGACTATTTCTATTCAAAACCTTCTGTATGACGCTTACTCTAAATACGGATCCATAACAACTGGTGGGATCGAAAGACTGAGAATGAAACACCGTTTAAGGGTTGTTCAAGGGCTAGAGGATGAGCTTGGAAGGAACATTGTTCGCAGTATTCAGTCTGATGGCTGCTTCAAGCCTGATGAACTGACGGTTTGTATTTTATTGGCTAATGGCGTAGTAATTAAGTATCCTTTAAATAGTTTTATTTTTGTTTCAAAATCAATAGTATTTTTTATTGTATGACTAGGCTGTAGCTTAAATGAATTGAATAAGAACTTTTTTTTAAAGAAACATTTAAGTTATGAATATATTTAATTGATTTTTAAATATAAATAAATAATTCAGGAATGACACTAACTTAATTGTGATTGAGATCATACCTTATGAAGATAGTTATGAAATTATTATTATTTGGTATCAATATGGTGAAAAACGGGTTAAAAATGATTTAAAATTTAAACAATTTTATACTTCAGCAAATCATTTTTGTAGGATTGAATTAATAAGAGTATTAATCTTCGGTACAGACCCATTTTTTTTATCAAATTATTATTATCAGTCTAAAACTTCCTGAATGGCTTGCCTTCATGTTATCGTAACCTACAACTTCTACAACTTTTTTATCTATTCAAATTCTCAGCAATGTTTTATCATTAAATTAATTAATTATATGAGGTACTAAAGATCTGTGAGTATCCGTTTGCTTTCAACTTGAATTTTAAGGTAATTTTCAAGAAAAAAGGGGGTTTCCAAAATATTGGGCCATTCAATCTATACAATCTCATTATTTTGGCATTTTTGGTATGAAGGTCTCGCCAAAAATTTTTGTAGGCCACCTTTTTTCTTGATTTTATGATAAAATTATCTTATGATTCAAGTGGAAAACAATTGGGTATTCATGAGCTTTTGTTACCTCATTAAATAGATAAAGTTTAATGATGTCCACATTGAAAATGCTTCATTTCCGAGAATGTTCGTAAATAAAAATGTTGTAGGTTGTGATAAGATGAAGCCATTTATAGATGATAATAATTTTATAAAAAGAGCTATATACCGTGGATTATATATATTTAAAAATATTAAACAGCTGATTTTTTTTTTGTAGGATTTTGTCGCTTTTGTCAAAGAAGAACTAATTTCAAGGAGGACACCTGCTGAAAGGTATATTTTTTTACCATTTATACTGGTATGATAATGACACTTAATATTGTAGATTTTTTTTCTCTCTAAAAAAGCAAGAAAGATTATTTTTGGCCATTAATCCTGTAGAAATACATTTATGTTATAACTCTTTAACTCAAATTATTTTAATTTTAAGAATCAGTTTCTTGAATAAAAATACACTTAATACAAAAAACAACATGATCAAAATGTCAAAAACCTAACTTCGATATAATTAAAATTATTTTGAGGGCAAACTGGTTTCTCATTCCTTTAAAATTTCACTTTGAAATGTATTATTCTATTACTTTTACTCTGTTTTTGTTTATTATAATTAACTTATATATGTATATATATATATATATATATATATATATATATATATATATATATATATATATATATATATATATACATACATACATACATACATACATACATACATACATACATACATATATTTACAATAATATATGATGTATATTTACAATAATAATATTCATGATTAGCTAGCTGTTGTATATATTTTTTGTTAAATATTTTTTATTAATTTTAGGTACGATCCTTCTCGGCCACCTTATGAAGCTTATAGCATAGATTTTGAACTATTTCGATATTTATTCTGTGGAATTTCTCCTTGGGGTAAAGGAGAGAAGGCTGATGATCTTGCCGCAAGATTGTTTAGGGTAATCTCTTCTATGTCATTCATTTAGCTTTTCAATTTCATTGAGTATTAATTTTCTGTAAAGTTAAATATTTTTACACTTGTTTGTTTTGTTTATTAGTGTTTGGAAAAAAAATTCAAATATAATTTATGAAATTTTAATTCTATTTTCTATTGAAAAAAAATTTGTTTGTTTTATTGAATTATTAAATGTAAGCTTCTTTTTATATTTAGACTGTCATGAATATTTTTAAAAAATTAAGTTTTATTAATTTTTATTATCAGCTAATGGATAGCAACAGCGATGGAATTCTTAATGTGAGAGAGGCAGTCATTGCTCTTGGGCTTACCTCTACTGCAGAAATGACCCAAAGGTTAAAACTGTTTTATGCACTTCATCTACCGCCAGTATTACCGTCTGTCGAGGTGCAGACTCCTGTCATGCCAGGTAATTTCCTAGATTGCTCAAATTTACTTTAAAGAAATCAATTAGTTGAAAAAAAAACTTGAATTAATGATACTCTATATAAATTTAAGTGGAGAGAAAATTATTGCTTTGCTTCTGATTTATAGTGATTTGATTTGTAAACCAGTTTGAAGTTTGCATAAAATTGTTTTGGACCTCTGCAGAACATAAGATTCTGTTGATTTATTAATTATAATCAGAGTTCTTTAAATGCTACATTGCCATAGCAACATATTTTAATTCCATATTTTGCTGATTTGACTAGAGAATGCCATATCTGTACCATATTTTACTTCTCCAAACGTGGCGTCTAGAAATCATGCCAATACATCACAGGATCAGAGAAGCTGAAAAGTAAGTGAATACACAATTAGGCCTGTTAACATTAAGTGGCATATTACTAGTGGCTGGATTTCAAATCTATAAAACCTCAACTGGAACTCCAATATAATCCCTTTCTATCTTCTCTCATACTGAAGTGTTCCTTATTTGCTCTACGTGAAGTTGCTTGCTCAAACTATCTGTAAAAGAAGTGGATTGATGAAAAACATAATTTCACATTGGAGGATGGAAAAATATTCTGCAAGTTGTGCATGAAAATGCTGCTCTTCAGAAATTGATGGGAGGAGATAAAGAATATAGCTCCTAATCAGGAAGGGAAGTAAGCTATCAATGAAAGATGACCAAGAACCTGCAGATGTCCTCTCCATGCACAATAAAATATTTTACAAAAAAATTAAAAACAATTGAAGAGTATATCAACCTACTTGAAATTGATCTACAATTGTAACAACAATACCTAATAATTAATTTTACCATTTTTGTACTTGATATTTATCATAGTCTTTCAAAGGTGGGTTTAAAAAAAATAAGTGCTATAATTGAACAAAATATATGCTGTACTGCCTTACTTTTTATGAAATGAAATGAAAATAATTTTATTATTCTGGGACTAGTGTCTCTTTACAACAAGTCACAAATAAAAAATATATATATTAATATTTTGGTGTGTCCATGAAATACAATTTAATATTTACAGGTTGATTCGGAGTACAATAAAGTTATAAATGATAAAAAGATATAAATACGTGTAAATATAAAATATACAGAGAAAGTAATAGCAACATTCATTCATCATTCAAGTAATAGTAATAGCAACATTCATTCATTCATTCATTCTCCCTGCGATGCTTAAGGAGAAAGCCCTGATGAAGGCCTGAACTTCAGGTCGAAACGTCGGCATATGTAAAAAATAAATATTAACATTTATTTTTGCCTTCCTTTTTGACTGACCACCCCAACTATTCTTCTCTTCAGAGAAAGTAATAGAGTGAACGAAATATCGATTAATTACAAAATAATCAGAGTATCTGGGTGTACTTTGAGGTTTTTACAGCTTAGGTTTTTAAGTTCATTTCGTGAAGGTATAGAGTTCAAGAGTGAGACAACTTGTATTAAAAAGGATTTATCAAATGCAGCAGTTCGGTGAGGAAGAGGATAGAGGTCGGACGCACGGGATCTGGTGGGACGGGATGGAAAGGAGTGTTTGAATTGTAGGATCTGTGGAATATAGGCAGGTCGGCGTGTTGTAATGGCTCGGTATAGGAAGGTAGCCAGAAAATATTGACGGTGGTAGGACGGATAAAGCCACTTCAACTTGGTGTAGAACTGGGTAATATGCGTATCCCTTAAGATCCCGAAGATTGAGCAATTCATTAAACGTTTAAGTTTGGTTTCGAGTTCTCCCGAGAGACCACCATACACCATGCAGCCATAGTCAAAGTGGAGGAAAACAAGAGAAGAGACCAGGAGTTGACGGGGTTTGAACGGAAGAAGATAACATAGATGGTTAAACTGTTTTAGGGTAGATATAGCACGGTGGGAAATAGTGCTTTATTTGGTAAAAATAGATGCTATATTTTGAAGAGCTCTGATTATAATATTTTTTTATACTAAGGAAATTTTTTTTTAATCCTTAGTTAAGACTCCTTATCTAGTATGCTTTTTTCTTATGAAAGCGCAATTACGCATGATTGAGTATGCATGTGAAGATGTTGGAGAGGAACAAGAAGTGTGCAGGATGACAGGTATGTTCTTTTACAAATGCCTTGGACCAGGATTGGCTCAGAGGATATTAGCAAGATCCAAATTCAAATGATAGGAGCATTCGTGTGCGTAGAAATGAATTTTCGAAAAATTTATATGAGCAGGAACTGAAAATAATTGATGTAAGAGGCAAGAAGAATAGAAAGAAATGGAAAAACATTTATGTACTCCAAACATCAGCCCAAATGAACAAATTTAGTAGAGTTTTTGTGATTCAATCTTGGTATATCCATATTTTTTTTTTCACTTTTTCTCAAATCAGAATATTTAAACTGGAACATCAGGGAAAGCTTTATTAGCTTTACTTATTGTGTTATGAAAATACAATTCAGTAAGTAGTAAGAATTTTAATTAAAATTGATTTAATTAGGACAAAAGTTAGTATAATTACTATTATTTTATTAATTGTCCTCATTAAATGGATTTTAATTAAAGTTAAAAAACAAAACACTTATAAATTTTGGATATAAAATAAAAGACTTATGAGGAAGAAAAAACAATATCGAAGATTAAGCATCAGAAGATGGAAAAATATTAGGTAATTTGAAGATATTCACGAAATAAATTAAAAAAAAAAAAAAAAAGAAAAGAAAACTCACAAAACTGATGATTTCATATATAAATAATTACATTTTCACAAACCAGTGTAACTAACATCACAAGTTTCTTTTATTAATATGTTTTTTTGTCTTGTCGGTTGTAAAGGACTTTGTTTTTAAAAATATACTCATGGTTCTTTAAACTTTTTATTTTTTAATTTGTATTGTATATTTTATAAATGGTTCTTATACTATATTTCATCTAAGATTTTTTGTACTATTAATTTTTATTTTATTTACCTGCAGGTTTAGATTGTTTTTTTTTTTTTTACCATATACATGAATAAAAACATGTTACAAATATTTTCAATGGTTATGAATACATTTATTATGGACTTAAATTTTTTTTTGCAAAACTTCAGATTTTTTATAAAAATTATAATTTTGATAAAAACGCATTTCACCCTAAGTGTGTATGCCTTTTTCTTTTACTGTAACTATTTCGATAAGGAAGATGAACAAATATTTAGATATAAATTAAGGGTTTCAACTGTATTTTAAATATTTTTATTTTATTGTGCTGACCACATCTATAGTCTCAAAGATTTTTAAGAATTTATTTTTAAAATACATATAATATGTATTAGAAATATTTTTCAGCTTTTAAATTATAATATTTGTTGAATGGTTGTGCTATTAGTAAATTATTTGATGTTTTGAAAGATGGGGCAGAGATCGCTTCAGAGGCGACAGAATTTTTCGAAGATGGCTCATTTAGTATTGGGTCTAGTTCAGCCGATTCAACACCTGTTTTAGAACGTGTCAACAGCCAAGCAGGTCTGTGTGCTCATCTTGTTGGTTCCGTTTTCATTACAGTTCAGCATGATCTAGTATTACCATAGCCTTAACAATGTATATTTCCTATTCTATCTGTCCAGTTTTTTAAATAAAAGTAACGCTAAATAAATGTCCACGGTTGAGAAGTTCTATTTGATGTTATAATCATTAGATACACATTATTTTATTTAAACTATATACTATATTAGAAAGTAATGTTTTATATTAATTTTATTTGTTAAATTACGATTGTTGGTTTTTATTTTTTTAAAATGCCATTGTATAAATTTAAAATTTCTGAAGAAAAAATATACAAGACTTCTGTAGATAATGTTCTGTCTGCTTTGGCTAAAGATAATCCGAGAACTACTGTTCAGGAAATTTCAGAAACACACATATGTATATGTAGAGTTTACAATTTAATGTTGAAGGATAAAATTTATTTCCTTTTGACATGAAGGGAAGATATATATATATATATATATATATATATATATATATATATATATATATATATATATATATATATATATAGCATTTCCAAGTCAATTTCAACCTTTTCCAAGTCAAATTCAACCTTTTCCAAGTCAAATTAAACTTTTTCCAAGTCAAATTCAACCTTTTCCATTTCAAATTAAACCTTTTCCATTTCAAATTCAACCTTTTTTTATTTATTTAATTATCTTTAATTTTTCGATGTGTGGGTCTGTTATCGTATGAGTAGTTTTTGAAAATAACCTCCTTTTTAAGATTACGTGACTGAGTTTCGAATTATTTAAGTTTTTTTGAATTATTCGATATAAGGGTGTATTTTTATGTTTCCCGATCAGTAAATTTTGAAAATGACATCCATTTATGTTTACGCCACTGTGTTTTGATTTATTTAAGTTTTTATAATTTATCCAATATAAAGGTCTACTTTTATGTTTCTGGAGCCGTAGATTTTGAAAACGACCTCCATTTTAAGATTAGGCCACCGCGTTTCGACTTATTTAAGTTTTTTTGAATTATTCGATATAAGGGTGTATTTTTATGTTTCCCGATCAGTAAATTTTGAAAATGACATCCATTTATGTTTACGCCACTGTGTTTTGATTTATTTAAGTTTTTATAATTTATCCAATATAAAGGTCTACTTTTATGTTTCTGGAGCCGTAGATTTTGAAAACGACCTCCATTTTAAGATTAGGCCACCGCGTTTCGACTTATTTTAGTTTTTCGGATATTTTTCATATGAGGGTTTATTTTTATGTTTCCGGAGCTGTAGATTTTGAAAATGACCTCCATTTTAAGATTAGGCCACCGCGTTTCGACTTATTTTAGTTTTTCGGATTTTTTTCATATGAGGGTGTATTTTTATGTTTCCGGAGCTGTAGATTTTGAAAATGACCTCCATTTTAAGATTAGGCCACCACGTTTCGACTTATTTGAGTTTTTCGGATTTTTTTCATATGAGGGTGTATTTTTATGTTTCCGGAGCTGTAGATTTTGAAAATGACCTCCATTTTAAGATTAGGCCACCGCGTTTCGACTTATTTGAGCTTTTCGGATATTTTTCATATGAGGGTGTATTTTTATGTTTCCGGAGCTGTAGATTTTGAAAATGACCTCCATTTTAAGATTAGGCCACCGCGTTTCGACTTATTTGAGTTTTCCGGATTTTTTTCATATGAGGGTGTAATTTTATGTTTCCGGAGCTGTAGATTTTGAAAATGACCTCTATTTTATGATTACGCCACTGCGTTTCAACTTATTTAAGTTTTTAGAATTTAACAAGTATAAAGGTCTAATTTTATGTTTCTGGAGCAGCAGATTTCCCCCATTTTGTAAATGACCCAATTTCAAGTTTATGCCACTGAGTTTTGGATTATAAAGGTTTTTTCTTTTTTACTTTTTCGGTATAAGAATCTACTTATATGTTATCCGAGACGCATTGAAATTTTTCTAATCTTTAATATTTAAATTTATCTAATATTTAAGCTCCATTTTATTACTAAGCCGCTGCATCTCGAATAATTAGGCTTCATTTTGGATTTTTACAATACAAAGTTTCATCAATATGTTTTCGAGTATGAATAAATAAATAAATATTATGAAGCTAAAGTTAAATTAACCACAGAATACAAACTAAAAAGCCGAAAAGCAGCTGGTAATAAATTTAACCTTCCGTATTCAGATTTTTCAGCTAATTGTTCGAAATCTTATAATTTTGTGACAGGAGACCACAACATTAAAAAAGATAACTAAAATTAAATTAAAAATGAGACAGTACATATTTGATTTATTTTGATTAGATATTTTTAGTTATTTATTGAAAAATAAATTAATCCTTCATATTTTGTTTTATTCGAAGGAAAAATCAAAAACACTTAAAAAAAAACGAAACACAGTGGGCTAATCTTAAAATGTAAATTGTTTTAAAAACTAAGGCTCTGGCATCATAAAAGTAGACCTTTAAGTTGGATAAATTCGAAAAACTTGAATAAGCCGAAACGCAGTGGCGTAATCTTAAAATGGAGGTCATTTTCAAAATTTACAGCTTCGGAAACATAAAAATACACCCTCATATAAAAAATATGCGAAAAACTCAAATAAGTCGAAACGCGGTGGCCTAATCTTAAAATGGAGGTCATTTTCAAAATCTACAGCTCCGGAAACATAAAAATACACCCTCATATAAAAAAATCCGAAAAACTCAAATAAGTCGAAACGCGGTGGCCTAATCTTAAAATGGAGGTCATTTTCAAAATCAACAGCTCCGGAAACATAAAAATACACCCTCATATGAAAAATATGCGAAAAACTCAAATAAGTCGAAACGCGGTGGCCTAATCTTAAAATGGAGGTCATTTTCAAAATCAACAGCTCCGGAAACATAAAAATACACCCTTATATCGAATAATTAAAAAAAAACTTAAATAATTCGAAACTCAGTCACGTAATCTTAAAAAGGAGGTTATTTTCAAAACTAGGTACAGGAAAACATAATACTAGTCTTTAATAAATCCGAATAGTTACAATAAATCGATATCCGTAAGTGAAAATTCTACTTAGAAGAGCATAATAATAGACTTTCATATTGGAGGGGGGGAGGGGATGGCCATTATTTAAAAAAAAAATATAAAATTTACAAAAAATTAAAACATTAATTTGAAATGAAAACGGTTGAATTTGAATTGGAAAAGGTTTAATTTGAAATGGAAATGGTTGAATTGACTTGGAAAAAGTTTGATTTGATTTGGAAAAGGTTGAATTTGACTTGGAAAAGGTTGAATTTGACTTGGAAATAATTGAATATCACATAGAAATATCACACTGAAAAAATCTAAAATGTTAAAATAAATGGATATGCAACCGCGTTATCAAAATTTTTTTTGTATTTTTCAAAAACTATACCTTCGTTAATATAGTAAGTGGCCTTCATTTCGAAAAAAATCGAAAATTGACAAAAATTCGAAAGTTGAATTTGAAATGGAAAAGGTTGAATTTGACTTGGAAAAGGTTTAATTTGAAATGGAAAAGGTTTAATTTGACTTGGAAAAGGTTGAATTTGATTTGGAAAAGGTTGAAATTGACTTGGAAATGCTATATATATATATATATATATATATATATATATATATATATATATATATATATATATATATATATATATATATATATATATATATAACATGAAGTCTTGCATTATTTTCTGTTCTGCCCAATAAAATCAGTCACAAAAATCTCATCAGGAGTCAAACAATTTCTATTTCACTTATATATATAAGTGTATATATATGGAGCCGGGGTAGCCATACGGGATAAAGTGCTTGCAATAGGTAATCAAAGTTAAGCCATGCTCCCTGAGTCTCTACCCTTCTCTCCTAACCCCCTCTATCTCCTTCTCCCCGGTTTGTGGGGCCCTTCAGCTACTGGAGGCAACTCACACTGAACAGGCATAGGACTGATGACTCTACCCCGTGTACTTAAAATCGGGAATCGGGATGTGGTTTACCAGGATGCTAGTAGCCCTCCTGAGGTTAGGCCCATGGACAGTCTGTTTTGAGAAAAGAAATATAGTCCTCTTGCGCCTGCTGACTGAGCAGCCATAATCCATGGATCTAGACCGATTTGTCACTGTCCTTGAACCCGAGTGAGTCTGTGGGAAGGACACTGCCAGATTTGTCCCAAAGGGATCGGCTATAGAGCTACGGGTGGCCTTTCGCTGCACCATGCAGACCATGGTTCGTAGCAACGTGAGGCTGGGTGACCTCCTCCAGGCTATCTGTGCTCCCGCAAGTAACATAAGTCTGTAAGGAGACCACATCTCGTGGCCAAAGATCTCCATGGCCTGTAGCCCTAACCAAAAAAAAAAAAAAAATTATATATATATGTGTGTGTGTTCCATGTCCTATTTCAACTATTTTTATGTCTTGGAATTTTTCCAAAAATTACTCAGAAAATATGGAAAAGTCAGGGAATTTCATTAAAAAGTATTAGAATACACTCTGTCTTAGTCAAAGATGGTCCAGGATGGTTTTTAAGATACTGAATCTACATAGGAAAGAAAAGCTGAAAGGGGCTTATAAGAACAATTGGTTGACCGTAAATATGTCAAAGATAGCTTAGTATGAAATATTAAATCTATAGAAACTTTTTTCTCCAAAGCTGCCTGCGTATGAGTTCATAAGGTTTTGAAGAATTTTCAATCCAACAACACATATAATGCTGATAAAACTTTTGTAATTTACTAAAATAATGTAAAAAAAATTAGAAAAACAAAAAGAACTTTCTCAACTTTCATAATCTTATTTAACAAAAAAATACGATAATTTAGTAATACACATTTGTTAAGGCCATGGAAATCATCTCTTCTGGGTTTCCTTCTATTATTGTATTATTTGCACTAATGGGAGTTATTGGTTATTTCAACAATTTGTAATCCCCACATTGTAATTTATTATTGGTACTTTTGCATGCATTTTGTTAGTAATATACTTAACTATCTAGTGAAAATTAATTATTATAATATATGCTTTCTGATTCCCCCCTTCTCCTGTTTATCTTTCTTCTCTGCTTATTATTATTGGTGGTATAAAAGCTTCAAATATTATCATGGTGCTTTCTTACCTAAAATTTCAGATAACTCAACTGCTGGAAATTTTTTAGTAAATTGAAAACTGAAAAAAAAAGCTTTTTTATATTCACCTCAATCTTGGAACAATAAGGGCCTATGTTTCTAATATTACAGTGAAACCTCTTAATAAGGACCTTTTTATTTAAGAGACACTTCAATTTACAGGTCAATTTTAAATGTTTCGGCATTGGAATATATAAAACAATGCTTTTGAATTGTAATATTTAGGTCATATTTAATATCACATAAAAACGCAATGTCATTAATGACTCAATTAAATTTATTTAAATTATAATGAAATTCCTGTTAACTTTTGTTAATATTTTACCTATTCCAATAGGTAAAATCAATAACATTTGTTGGTATGCATTGCGTCTTTAAAAATTAAAATTTATGTATTTTTTCAAAATAAAAACCATTTTAAAGAGAACAGATATTCATATTCCTTTTACTGATATATACATTATTTAAACAAGTTTTTAGTGACCGTTCCATATTTTATTTTGCAAATATAAAGCAGGACGGATCGTGATGAAGACATCAGCAGAATTGGTGGACTGTAATGAAAACACCACACTTCTTATTCCCCCAATTATTTCTCCCTTATTATGGTTACAAATTAGCAATCAAAATAATTATAATTATCTAATTATATAAATTAACAATAATGTGTGATGCATAATATAGATTTTTAAACAAATTAAATATTTGCCCTCACTGCTGTTTTGTTCCGTTTGTTTTATGTTGATAAAAATAATACAATCTAAACTACAGAATACATGTAAATTACCAAGTGTTGACCCTAGGGTTTTACGCCTTAAAGCCTAAACAAACAAACAAACATGTAAATTACAGTTATACAATTTGAGCAACAAGTAGTATAATTAAATGAACAGTTTTTTTTTTTATTGGCGTAGGGAGGTGGCGGTCCCATCGCCCGGTCATTGTACCGCAACCAGCCACTGGCCCTCCAGGTTGGGGGAACACTTACACGAACACTCACACACCAAGTACACTTTAGACAGCACACTACAACACCTAAACACTACAGACAAAGGTCACCTACAGTACATACCCTAGGGTCACCTTCCCTAGGTAGCCGCCCCGGATGGGGGAGCTAGTCAGGATGCTCGGAGGAGGCAGCCCCTCTACCTGACTCGGGGGCAGTGGGCTGATAACCCACCCCCCCTAAAGTACCTTATTACGAAACCTCAAAGAGAAGAAGCCGGACTGAATTACGGTAACAGACCCAGGAAACGCCTAAATGACCTAAGAATTGGATTTTGGAACATTTTATCATTACATAGACTAGGAGCACTTCGTGCGCTCCTTGCAGAAGTGGACACATACAGAATCGACATAGCAGCTATCCAAGAGGTCCGATGGATAGGACAGGGAATTATGGAGAAGAAGTACCATACACTCTACTATAGCTGCCATGAAAAGCATCACATCTTCGGCACCGGATTTGTTGTGAGAGGCAGAGCTCGACAGTTGGTGATGCGATTTACTCCCATTAACCAAAGGTTATGCTACATTCGGCTTAGAGGAAAATTTTTTAATTTCTCTCTAATCAACTGCCATGCCCCAACAGAGGTGTCACCTGAGGAGGATAAGGAAGCATTTTATGAAGAACTTGGACGCGTGACAGAAAGCTGCCCCAAAAATGATGTTAAAATCATTCTTGGTGACTTTAACGCACAAGTTGGTAAGGAGGTGGCACTCATGCCGACCATAGGAACCCACAGCTTGCATGAGACCAGTAATGATAATGGGCTACGGATGGTGAACTTTGCTACATTGCATGGACTGGTTGTTGGAACAACTCTTTTTCCTCGAAAGAATATCCACAAAGCAACATGGATCTCTCCAAATGGGCAAACAGCATCACAGATAGACCATGTACTCATTAGTGCCCGTCACAAGTCCAACATGATAAATGCAAGATCTTATAGAGGTGCAAATATGGACACGGATCACTATTTGAGCATTGCCGAGGTCAGATCACGAATTTCGCTGATTAAAAACCACTACCAACGACCAAAGAAGAAGATTGATGTGGTTAAACTTAAGGACTCAGACCACCAATATTCGTATCAACAAGCTGTGGAGACGAAACTTAACGAAGAAGTAATTAATGACAGCTCTATGGTCGATGAACAGTGGAAGAGATGCAGCAACGCAATGAAACAGGCAGCAGAAGAAGCTCTTGGCTACGAGACTAAATCTAGAAGGCCCCCATGGTTTGATGCTGAGTGCCTTCAAGCAGTAAAAGTGAAAAATGAAGCCTACAGAAAGAAGGTTCAGCGTCCCACAAGGCTCTCCCAAGAAACATATAGAAGAAAAAGACGCGAAGAGAAGAGATTATTCCGCGGAAAGAGAAGAGCTTGGGAAAATAAGAACATGGAGGACACAGAGGCATTGCGAGGCCAAAATGAAAGTCGCCTGTTCTTTCAGAGAATAAACGAGGGTAGGGCAGCTTTTAGGCCCAGAGTGACGGCATGCAAAGACACAAATGGAACTCTTTTAAGCCACAAAGATGACGTACTAAGGAGATGGGTACAACATTTCAAAGGCGCATTAAACAGAGGAACGGTGCCTGGAGAAGTAGGTGTAATGAAGGAAGACTCCCTGAATTCTATTGAACCCCCGGATGAGGAGGAAA